TGAGTGGCTGGATATTTTCTGTCTTTTGACTCCTGCAAAATGCAGCACTATAGGAAATTGCCCTGTCTTTTCCAAATGTTTTCTGCATTGGAGAGTTAATCTCTGCAGCAGGTAACTAACTCTACTTGTATGAGCTTCCCTTATAATTTAGAACCCTGATTTTCTGATGTTGTAAATCATATGGGGTACTTCTATGATTAGAGCCAGCTCCCTGATACAGACAATGAACTCTAGCCCATAGATGAGAGATTGAGCCAGCAAAACATAGATAGCTTTTGAGATAGGCATCAAGGACACGGTGTGGTCATGGGGCCCATGAACTCATGCCTGCTTTCCTTCTCATGTAATTATAATTACATTGAATAGAACTACTGTATACTAGCAGTGTTTCCCATAATGTGTGTGAGAGATGCATATATCTTAGTTTCCTGAAAGAGGTACAAATACTGTGTTTCCCAGTTTCATGTAAGCATAATGAAAAGATCCCCCCAACATAATTGAATACAGTATACTTCTATATCTGTAGTTTATAAACTGACTCTAGTTTAATAAAGTAATCTTAGTTCTTTGTGGTCTTTGTACATCACATATACATTCCCTTTGCCTGTGCAGGACCCTGTTTGGCAGAAACCTCCTGCCACAGCTCTAGTATCCATGTCCTTAGCAGGGCAACTGCCCTTGCCCTCAGTTCCTCTTAAGTAATTATTGTGATTGCTTCGTGAGCAGCTTCTTTCAGCTCTAAAAGACTGGGTGGCTGAGCATGGTTAATTCAACCTATGGAATTCACTCCCCAAAGAGGTCCGCCTGGCACCGTCATTACTGGTTTTTCGGCGCCAGGTAAAGACCTTTTTATTTAAACATCATTTTAATTGTTAAAACATATGATCTGGCCAGGGCAACTTCTTCCTTCTCTTTTCTCCTCCTATATTATTTATTTACTTATTTTATACTGATAATTTTAATTTTATATTATTATGTTTGTAACTCAGTGTATTTTTTGTATTTTTGTATTTAATGGTAATTTATTATGTTCTATTGTATTTCAATGTATTTTATTGTGTTGTAAGCCGTCCCGAGGCTTCGGCAAGGGGCGGCATAGAAATGTTATAATAATAATAATAATAATAATAATAATAATAATAATAATAATTATAATTATAATAATTTTCCTCTCTTGGTATTATCTGCTATCATTCCCATGTCTTTCCAATTTGATTGCTTTGTGTTTCTTCAGTTTGTGGATGCTGTGGAGACATACAGCCCTAAAGGCCTTATTTAAAATATGTATGGGGTGCAGGAACAATCTTACCCCAAGTGAGGCATATGCTTTATGCCTGTTTCATCTTGGGGAGGCCAGCTGTGACTGCTTGCTGTATTATCAGGTCTTTACAAAGCAGGGTAGAAGGAACAAGTCCAAAAGGCTTCATTTAATCTCATGGAAACAGGCTTTGGAAACAGTTGAAGTGCTGAAATACATGGGGCATAAGCTTCATACACCCTTGGCTGTGCTGGCTGTTGTACATTCAGCACCTCCTTCAGGGGTTACCTGTTTCACTGTTTACCTTTTGCCCCACTCCAGGTTAGGCTCTAGTCACAGGCTGTGACCTTGCAGCACCAAGATATTGCTGAAGTTGTGTGTGCAAAATAAAAAAAGAAGAAAAAATAATCAAAGAGGCTGGATGGCTTCCTGGTACCAAGATCACTGGTACCACCACCTCTAATGATGGATTCACCAATACAAATTTTGTCACTGGTACTGCCCCAGGAAACCACCCCAAATATGTTGATCTCAGTAGGAGAGTTCTGAGACCCATCTCCACATTCAGATCAGATTAGGGTTTGGTGATTCTCCATGTATTTACTGAGATCTTGCTTGCTCTCAATGCTTAGATTGAGAGAGATTATATGATTGATCCCTGCCACCCTATATGATTTGTACTATTGGGATGAATGGGAACCTAGACATCCATAGGACATTTCTTATGACCAGCTGAGACACTAGATGGATGTCTGTCTTTGATACCAGGCCAAGCTGTCAGCATCCCATGGACACCTGTCTGTGCTGAATGACATCCCACCACCTCTATCCTGCAGCCTAGGATTATATAGCTCATGCTGTTCTGTCTCCAGCCCTTGGGAGAAAGAACATTGATCACTAACTCATCCATTGCTTCCTCTTCTTTTGGCTGTAGTTCAGTTGAAGTCAGTGCTGCACCAGAATACTTTTACACATTCTTCCATAGAAGACTATATTTTGGACTCCCCTTCTTATTTGTCAGCAACTCCTTTCATCTTTTCCCTCACTGCAGTGGTGGGTTCAAGGACTTTTGCCTCCTTGTTGGTTGATATGGACTACTTCTTTAACTAAGTATACTGAATGTTGCAGTAATTTGGCATAGAGACCAAGCTGCTGGTCCTAAGTGTTAAAGGCCCAGTCTTTGGCATAAAGTATGCTGAAGTTTCAGTACTTTTCTTCCAATCCTCTCTAGACAGGTCAGTCTTGAAAGCACCTTACTCCATGACACCCACTTCAAGGGGATTGGAAAGAGTCCAGGAACAGGGCACAACATGTCTTTGCATTGATAAATTCTATTATTGTAGAGTCTGTGCCAGTCAGGTCATATAAAGAATATTCCTCTGTTGACAAAGGCCTGTGTTTGGATCTGATGGTCCAGCAAGTTTGTGCTAGCAAGACACTTGGATGGACTTCTGCAGGAGGTTTAGTCACAGAGAGAGGGAAGGGAGAAGAGTCCTTTGATGGGGAAGGACTCTTCAGTTTTAGAATAGGCAGTGCCACAGACTCCATCCAGAGACAATAGTGAGGAAGATGGAATTGGGTCAGTACCCTCAGGAAGAAATTTTGAATATGCTGTTAATTTTCTGTCTTAGGAATGAATGGTTCACTTTCCATCAGTCACAAAGATTTTTTCCACATTGTGATTTATTCTTTTAGCCATCCCCTCCTTTGGTTCAGTACTGGCCAGGACACATACCAAATCCTATCCATAATCCAGCAGGTGATAGCCACACTCACCTTGGGAGCTCAGTTTCTACATTACCAAGAATATTGTGTTGACTACCACAAAGACTGCCCAATTTATTGAGGCAAAGCTTTATATGTCCATAAAGTGGGTGTCCCTTCTTCAGGAGCAGGAACAGGTAGTACTCACCTTGACTAACTGACACAGAGAATATTCATCTTGATGAACCACCTTCACAAGAGCTGATTGGTCACCATGTTCAGTGTCCAGAAGCTTCTAGGATTGATGGCATCTATAGTGTCAGTCATCTGTTAACTTGTCTTCAATGTACTCTTTTCAAAATTGGCTCCAAAGAAGCTTTGCTTCTGCCCAGGAGGCAGAATCCCTCCCATGGATGCTGGAAAGAAGAAGGGGAGGTGCTCCCACCCAAACTAACGCTTAGTTATAGAAACTTCCCAAAAATGGGCTCCAGGCGGGTTCAGAGCCCATATGTGTGAATGTACAGATGACCACTGGAAGAATGACAGTTACAGGTAACCTGAGTTTGCTGACAGTAACATGGGGGTCATCTATCTGAACAAGAAAGAGAGGATGTGATTGCACAAGCTTATGTGTTCAACCCTTGAAGAGTTTGATTGGGCAACTTCTCAGAACATGGGGTTTTCTGCAGTGTTCTGTCAAATCATTGTCCTTGTTGTCAAAGACAATGTTTTGGCACATTTCCAAATCAGAGTCTTGCAGGCATCCCACAAATGGCAGCTCAAGGGGGTCTTGAGTCTCTTTTGCACTGTTGGAGAACTCCTTATATGGATCTGTTTACAATTGAAGAGAACTTGGTGTACAAGACATTTTCACTGAGAGTGCAAGTTTCACTAAACTGTCAAAGGGATGTGTTTATCATCATTTGGACCCAAAAGTTCTCCTTCCACTTTTCCTGCTCCCATTAGGTGAAGGTATGGGCAGAGAACACCAGCAATATTCTAATATAGCTGTAGTGGCCTAGCAAGTTTGTGTCACACTGCTTCTCCACATGTGCAAAGGGGAATATATATCTTCAGCTTCTTTTGACACCAAACCTTCTCATTTGGGGTTGGACTCAGCATCCCAATCTTGGTATGCTCTGAATGAAAGCCTGAAAACCAATGTGATAGGCATGAGTTTTCTTCTTCATACCATCAGTGCAAGCTGTTTTGAAGTCAAGAAGCCAGCCACATGACAATCCTATAGGAGAAAATGGAAGGCATTCTCAGCTTGTTCAAAAGACACTGGTATTGATCCTGTAGTTCTTCCATTCAGTTCATCAGTTCAGTGAATTGTATGCTCTAAGGATCAGCCCTGCTTATATCACTTTAATTTTGCATCAAGATACTGTGTTTCTTGCCAAAGTGATTCAGAATTTCACTTGAAACATGATATTGCCCTTTCTTCATTTTTCCTGTGGAGATTGTTATGCATATTCTTGTCATAGAAAGCCAGAGTTTGCTGTGTGGGCCAGTGGAGGTGGGATGGATCATCCCATTCTCCTCCTCTGTTTTTGTGCTGTTCATGGAAGAAGAATTCCATGGCTTAAGACAGTTTTTTGATAATGCAAAGTGTTTTTTTTTGTTTTTTTTTGGAGGGGGCTGTTTGTATGCAAATGTGAGTAAAAGCATGTGACCAGAATACCACAGTTATACCACAGTCTTTTAAAATCTGAGCTATTGTCATTGGAATATGGAAGCATTAGCATTACTTGGTCCAGTGTGAACAGCTCAGTTACTTAGCAACGAGATGCTTATAGACATGTACCTTATTATGTGCTCTGAGTATCTTACATTCAAAAGCTTATTCTAGGTGTCTAACTTCATTTGAGAGATTTATGGAGGAGAGCCACAGTTTGCAAATACAAGCATTATAAGGAAAGACCACAACTGGACAATAACATTTATGCTCAAAAAGCTAGCATAAAAGGACTTTTACATAATGAATGAACCACTGGATTAGTCTCTGATAATGTTTACTTTTAACTTGTAATTGCAGCCAGTCAGATGATGATTCTGGTTCAGCGTCAGGTTCTGGATCTGGTTCCAGTTCTGGAAGCAGTAGTGATGGAAGTAGCAGCCAGTCAGGAAGCAGTGATTCAGACTCTGGTTCAGACTCAGGCAGTCAATCAGAATCAGAGTCCGATGCGTCTAAGGAAAAGAAAGTCCAAGCTAAACCTCCAAAAGTTGATGGCGCTGAGGTAAAATTAACTTTTATATATAATTGATTCTGTGTATATATTCAATTTTTATATATAATATACTCCATGGTGAATTAATGTTAAGTAAGCAGCTGTATAAATGGTTGAAATTATAAAGCTGTAATAAGAAACATTGGAAATGGTGATAGTAGTATCAGATAGCAGTTCTTTGTTGCTGTTAAACTTTGATCTCTTTAAGACACTCCTAGTATATATAACCAGTTGTGTTTAATCTTTGTCTACAATATCTAGTGTTATGTCTTCGTCAGGCTGCAGCTTTAAGTTTCACTTCAACTTACTGAACTAAACACCATTTTAAACTTTTTTTCTTCACTATTTGATTGTCAGAGAGGGGCATACCTTAAAAACGTCAGATAAAAGTTAAAAAGAGAGTACACAGATAGCCATAACTTCATTATACTGCAATAAATATGTCTGTATATTTAAGCCATATATTAAACCTTTCCAGTGTTGCTGTTAGTAGGGGAGGGTTATTTAACCAAAAAAATCAAGCACTTTTAAAGCTGCAGGTGTGTCACAAAAAGTTATATTCATTTTAACCTAATGGAATGTGTTTCTAATTGGCTTGATTTCATTGGCATAGCAATGGGAGCTGTTTCAGTTGTGGTATTATTTTCTTCAGGACATATACAGCTTGTCATTTGTTTTTAATTAGGATGGATTGAATATGCTGTAGTAGATTCTTTCATTTGTTTACCCTAAGCTTTTCAGTATCTGCTTAGACAGCATTGCATGTGTCTATAAACTGTTGAATCTGGTATGAGAGAAGACCCTGCTTTGTAGCACCTGGTAACACAGAGTACTTCAGGAAGTCTTTGAAAGAGGCAAGATCATGGTGTTTAGTATTAAAATTGAAGGATCCTTGGTGTGAGGAATGAAAAATATGTTAAGATGGTGCCCATTTTTTATAAAAAGCAGTACTTGTCAATAAATTTGGAACATTGGTTAGGATAATATTTCTTATCACTTGAAGATTACTGACTGTGAAATTTATGGACTTAACTAATTTAGATGTACACTGAATTATGTTTTGTATGGCATCATAATGTTTTCATTTGAATTCCACTTCAGTTTTGGAAATCAAACCCAAGTATTCTGGCTGTACAGAGATCGGCAATGCTTAGGAAACAGCAACAGCAAGCAAAAGCAGCTTCCTCAAACAGTGGCTCAGAACAGGTGAATAATCAATTATGAGTCAATGTTTTAAATGTAAACACATGCATTTTTTACAGGGCGGATCATTAAAAAGAATGGAATAAAATTACCCTTAAAATTAAATGGGCTTCCACGAGAGGTCATTGAGGCCCCATCAGTGAGGGTGTTCAAAGATAGGCTGGACATGCACATGGTGGGCATGTTGTGAGCAGAACTGGCTGGTGCCGGAGGTCAGACTAGATGGCCTGGGAGGCCCCTTCTGACTCACTCTGTTTCTGTGTTTCTAAATCACTGTCTTGTATATGTAAGAAAAGAAGTAGATGCCAACTGTTTCTAGGGACCAGTGCAATATAAGATTGCACAGCATATTTGACAGTGTTCACAAGATTTTAATTTAAACAAGAATGTTTAATTAAACAGGGATGTCAAGGAGATAGTGTATATTGCTATAAAACAAATAGGTCCTCAGGGAGTGAAGCAGCCTGTCCCACTTAGCAGACTTAGCCTCCAACAGTGCAGTTGTTAGTTCTGTGCTGTCCACCCACTTGAAATGAGAACCTGCTGGTGATACCTCTTATCAGTAACTTAAGTGTTGCATTTACAAATAATTATTAAAGCATTTAATTACTGTTGATACCTATGCCAATCACTTCAGTCTTCATTAGGAAAACCTTAAGATTTTTGGTGAGCAGAGGAGTGGAGCCAACAGCAAATAGTCAAATCCTCAAACTTGAGAAGGTATTGCAAAGGACATTTCATTTCCACCCCAAAGGAGGACCCTTCCCCACCCAAGTTCTGGCTCTGCCTGCCCAGAAAAGAGTTCTGAGCTACTCCCAATTACAGCTGAGAGTACCATTTAAAATGGGAAAGAAATAGGGATTTTTTTAATTTTAAAAAAGTATGTATTTATGAGGGAAATGCTCACTCTACCTCTCCTCCTTCCACATGTATTTTTCTACTGGTGGTCTGTGCTTGTAAGGGGACCAGGCACATTAAGCCTCAGCGCTTCCCTTGCTGTTTTCCAGGCCCCAGGGCTTGCTGCTTTGCTGTTCATTCTGCAGCTTGCTTTTCTGCTGCCATAGCTGTCAGGGTGTAAGTGTGGTCATTAGTGGAGCAGAAGCAGGGTGTCCTCTTCCAACAGCTCCTTTTCTTCTTCATTTGCTTCTTCTACAGTTTCTTCTCAGTCTTGTTTGCAGGGTAAGTGGAGGAGTAAGCTCTGTCACAGAGAACAGTAAGAAACAGGAAAAGCATGTTGGTCCCACACCAACAGTGATAGTCAGTCTGTTAAGAAATGAACAAGCCTTACTGACATTTTCCCTTTCTGTTCGTTTCCTCATGGCACTTCAGCTTCAAGGGGCTAGCTCCATTGAGATGGATCACAGTGATCATCTGTCCAGGTCTCTGAATCTTGTCTCACTGGATTTGGGGGTGTGGGAATAGGGGACATTATTAGTGGTGATCAGTTTGCAGTATTCCAGCCTTCGCATCTGTTTTCAGAACTCAGGAAGCACTGGCATTGATCATCTCAGGAAGCTTCTGATGTGGCCCAACCTCTTGACCCAAGGTCTCCTGAACCACCTGATTCTAAAGTTCACCTTTGTGTGTGGAAGTTGAATGGTGACAGCTTGTAGTACATTTCTTACATCTGAGCCTCCAGTAGGTACTCTGGCCCTCTACCAACAAAATAAATCAAATAACTTGTAATGTCTTCTAGAAGTGGTGCAGGAGAATAAAGATCTTCACTACAAGGTGGATTCCTTCATCTTTAAGATTTTATTAAGTATGATCTGGAGCCACCAACATCATAAAGCTTCAAGATTAGATACCGTTCTAAGGTCTGTCACTGCACCCCAAAGTCAAGAGATTTCCAAAGCAGGCAGCTCTTCTCTCTCTGTTTCCCATATGTAGATTCCAAGTCCTCAACAAATCACCTTCTGTGCCTGTATTCCATCCTTTTTAAGGAATTCACCCAAAATGTGATGTTCCTAGTGGTGGATATCTACACTAGGAGACTTAGTGAACTTTGTGCCATTCCTATCCAAGGGGAAATGTGCATTTTAGGCAACATGCTGTCGTATCCAGATTAATCCACATTTATTTCTTCATCAGTCTCATGACTTTGTCCTGCTTGTTTAATGCCCCAACAATTCCCACCAGAGAGAGCAGTTGTGAAATAAGTTAGATGTGTGAAGAGTGCTAAAATTTACATTAGATAAACACAGAACATCAAGGTTTCTAGCAGTCACATTGTTTTCAGTAGACAAGGAGATTGGGCCTTTTTCCCCCCAAGGATGTTTCAGAGGGAATTGTGACCCATTTGGTAAGGGGAGGTAGCAGCCTTGGCTTCATTAACTACACTAGCACCCCTGGAATATATCTACACAACACATTCTAAAGGCAGAGGGCTCATTACTTTATTTGGCATTACAAGTTTGAACAGATGTGCTTTGTCCAGGACATCTGTTACTTGGCATCTTCTGCTGCAGGGTCTGTAAGTGACAGAGGAAAGGGAAGTTCTTCCTCCAAGGGTAAAAATGAAATTTCATTCCCCCTGTCTTTTCCACCTGGAGATACTAAGTTTTTGCTTTAGGCTCCACTCTGCACTTACCAGAACTTCACGCTAAGTTCAACTTTCTGAACAATTGCTAAATAATCTGTGTACACTGATCTATTAAGGCTGCAATCTTGCACGCATCTGAGAACTCGGCAAAACTTAGTTCTCAGTAAGATGTAAAATTCCTGCAGATTCTGAAAGCATGGATAAAATACAGGGGTTTTTCTGATTTATTTTCAGGAAATATATAAATGTTAGGAAAAATGGAGAAATAAGCCACATTGTTGGCTTACAAAGTCACATTGTTGCTTTTGAGCAGGGTTCTCTGAGTAGAAGCTCCCATCAATCAGCAAATGGTTGGGGGTATTGTAGGCTGAGTATTGTTGGCCAGAATATCTAAAGGGCACAAATTGGGAGGGCTGCTTTAGGAACATATAGCCTGCTATATAATTCAGCTTCCTTATGAAATTATCATGATACTTATAAACTTTTAGAAGTACACTATATATTTATGTCTGAATAAACTATGCTCTTTAATATTCCAAGCATGATAGTTGTATAAGCAGATAATATATGCCCAACATATTTTACATTCTTATATAATATCTAACCAGAGGTAACAGCATTAAATAGTCCCTGAAACATCAGAAGCATCCTAGAAACCAGAAGGAGCAGGAAGAACAAGCGGCAGAGAAAGAGTGATATACAGTTTCTTTTCTTGCTTGTAAAGAAGTTTAGGAAAATTCCTAAATGAGTTCCTGATGGAAAACTGATGTGAAGAAAAAGCTATTGGGATTTTAGTTATCAGATAACATCTTTGTTTAGGAATGGTAAATAACCATATTTAACTTTTAAGCAATGTCAACCTATTATTTGAAGCATGACATTTTAATCACTTTAGTAAATAATTTCTATTGATGAATGTCTTTCTTTTGTCCATTTTAAATGACAGACCCTAGTAATGTGTGTGGAATTCAATTTAGCAGTGGGGCTCTGGTCTGCTTTCTCTCTTCCCTAAGTCCACCTTGCTCCTGAGTGTTCTTATGGGCATCTGGCAAGAAGCAAGTTCGCAAGACTAGATTGTGCACACACCACTTGTGCACCTGCTCTGCAAACAGAGTTCTGCACACGTAACTTGTGGGCTTTGCTTACTTTGTCCAAAGAAGAATCTGATAGGGTTCCCATGTGTTCATGGACTTGATATTGGCTTGGCTCACTTCCTGGCCATGGTTGAGCATGGAAACAAAGTCCAGCAAGTTAAAGAGAGCCAGATTCTGGCAGGATTTTCACACTCATAGTCTGGTGGTGGTGTGATTCCCATGCCCTAGAGTGAGAGCTAATTGAGACTTTATTAAAAACAATAACAGTGTGTTCTATATACCTAAGCCTCAGAAAAGAAATCCAAGTGTAATAATGCATATCTGGTGACAATGATAGGTTATAAATGCTGTAAAATAATAAAAACAGTAACAGTGCTACAGACTCTAACCAGAAGAGGCCCAGAGACCCACAGACTCAGTAGAATAAAACCCAAACTTTCAGAAATGCACATATTTTGATGAAGTAACTACTCATAGGATTTAAAAACATTTTTGTTTATGGCTTCATCATTTCCAGGAATTTTGCATGTCTAGTCTTTCTATAAAAGTGTTCGTATTCCAGAGTTTTTAGAAATTATTTTGTGGGGCACCAAATGACTAGGTAACAATATTAAAAAATTGTCTTACATTTAAAAAAAATTATAAAGCTATTCCATTTTTCTAATTCTGTGGGGACAAACATAGTTCTGGAGTGGCAGGAAAAAGTTGTCTTTTTCATTGCCTTCACATCTCTATTTCTAAAGAGATATGTATAAGATTACCCTATAAGAATACAGTAAGACTCTCCCTTCCCCAAGGGTTAGGTTCTAAGCCCCCCAGCAGGTGCCTGAAACCATGGATAGGAGTGAACCCTATATGCAGTCAAACCTTGACTTTCATACATTTAACTTTTGCGGATTTCATTATTCGCAGGTTTGCTGTCAATAATTAAATGGGAATTTTTTTGGAGTTCTGTGGCCTGCAGCACCATGGATGAGTGCAAGGAGGCAAGCATGAAGGAGGAGAGCTGCACAGGCAGTGCTGTGTCTGTCCACAGACAGCTGTGTAGCGAATCTTCCTCTTCTGCTGCAGCCAGCCTAGAACAGTGCACCATCCTCCGGTGAGAGCACGGTGGGCACTGGACTCAGGACTGGCCGTGTGGCCATGCATGAGGCTCACAACATAGAACAAGCTCCCCCAGAGCGCATGCTCGAGCGCATCGGATCTTGTTTTCAGACCATGGGAAACTGCAGTAACTGAAACAGCAAATTGGGGCAGGCAGTGGGGGCACTGTAATTTCAATTTTCTGTAATAGAACAACTTTGCCCTCTCTGAAGAATTGCTTCATAATTTTAGATACACATGCAAAAGATTTGATTCTAACAAATTGGTAGCAGTTTCTAGGGTAATTGCATGTTTTAAAGGAACTTTTTTCTTTCATTTGAAATGAAACAGTTGATTCTGTTATGTGATGCAGCCTTTTGTGTTTTATATTGATTGTTTTATTAATGTTATTTAACCTATATTCTAGAGGTATAGGCAGTTGTTTTTTCAGGCTCCTTTATACTTTTCCAAAAATAGAAAAGAAAAAGAAACAAGGATCCTGCTCTTTCAAGGCAAAAGATGAAGAAAACAGTAGATTATGTATCTTTCCTGTTCTTCTTCTAACCTTCTTCAATAAATATGTGCATTCTTAATCACTTTAGGACTGCTGTTGCAGTATAAGGAACCTACTTCATTGCAGGAAAGTTGCAGCATTAAAATTGAATTGCTGTGTTAAGAGTAGAACATGGGCCTCCAATTGGCACATTTGGAATCTCTCCTGTTCTTTTTATTCTTGAAAATAAAAATCAAGTTGCATTGGCTCTGCAGGGTGCCAGCATCTCAGATGTCTTTTGTGTGCTTGTTACTTGGAAATTTTAAAAAATGAGAAGGGCATGGAAGATTGGCTGTGAAGAACAGGAAGCCAAAGGGCGGGGAGCTCAGGAATAATAATATTTGTTCACATCTCAGTGGTACTTTTGTTTTGCCTTGCTTTGTAGGAGACCTCAAGTAGTGAAGACTCTGCAGATGACTCACCCAATGAAGTTAAGAAGAAGAAACACAAAGAGTAGGAAATTAAGCATTAAATTAAAAATACTATTTTGAAAAATCTACAAGGGTTAATGGTTGCTTAGTACCCAAATGGGTAATATTTTTTTATCCATGTGCTTGTTTATATGGGTTATATATCTGTATGATTGCCTGTATAGTTCCATGTCAGAATATCTTTATAAGGACATATTCTAATTACAGAAAATCAGGTAACTACAGTATTAGAAGAAAGCTTGGCTAGAAAGTATTAATTTTTGTCAAAAATGGAGGCTAAGCATAATCCAGGACAATTGTTTTCTGTGAATGTCTCCAAATTTTGGCTGACTTTAGTATCTAGCCCAAGTTTCTCTTTGGTGGACTGTGCCATACCCCTGCTAGAAAAGTGATGAAGTAAAGTGGTGAAGTCCAACATCATATGTTCTACTCCAGAAGAGCATCATGAGGTTGGGGACAGTTTCATGGCTCCATTTAGACAATACATCACACTGCACTTATGAATTGCTCAGAATTGTCTTTAATATGTAGTGTAACAGGCGGAGTTATCCTGAGCTTGGGAAGGGGGCAGAGAATCATTCCATAGTTGTATTATTCTTGCATTCGGAAATTAGTCCAATAGTGTAGAGAATTATCCACTAGTTTATCCCAAAGTGGTGCTTTGCTTCTCAGGTGTTCAAAGTGCCTCCAGAAATCCCTGTGGGATTATCCACTGCCTCCACTTCCAAGCTTGATAGGATGGTTGAGTTTAATTTTGCTTATCAGAGGTGGAAAGAACATTCACCATTGCTTGTATGGATAGCATATTTATGGATCACTGCAGAATTCTTAAGGTTAGATCTGCATCCATGAACAGAAGTTCCCCATTCATAGAAGGTGCCTCCACTGATTTTGAGGGCTCTCAGTGCACTGCCATGCACTCTGGTCTCCTGACTCCTCGGTGTACAATTTCAGGGATCTGGAGGCTTGCTTTGGGGAGGTAGTGACATGAAAGCCTGTTTCTGCTATCCCACTTGTCTACTCTTAAATAGAATAGTACCTAATAAGTAGAATGGGAATTGTAGAAGAACACAGCTGTCTTGTTAAGCATTGTTTCATTTTTTTCTGTTTTGTTTCTTTGATATGTAAACTTGGTGCAGTCTTAATGACAGATGGCATCATGGAAGAACATGTTTAAGAAAATACTGATGTCAGTACTTAGCATTTTATTTTAATCAATATGGCATTATCTTTGATAATGTTTGTCATGTGTGAAAAATTATGTAAAAATTGTGTAGATAGACCTAAATGAAATATTTTATAAATACCTGTTACTACTACTTAAAGAAATATTATATGCTTTTCCTACAAACCCTTCTACATTACTTTTTCTGCTAACCTCACTTTGATTCCAATCTGTTCTCCCCAAAATGCATTAGGATTGTGATTCTTCTTTTAATTATGATACTGCAATCTCTCACTTGTGTCTGTCAGTTAGGTGATACTACTTTCTGTTGATCTAAATTTAGATGCACCAATTTTTCTTTTTAAATTTATGTAGTGAAGATTGGCAAATGTCTGGGTCGGGATCTGTTTCTGGAACTGCTTCAGATTCTGATTTGGAAGAAAGCAGAGATAAAAGTAGTTGTGAGGAGAGTGAGTCTGACTATGAGCCGAAAAACAAAGTCAAGAGCAGGAAGCCACCAAGCAGGTATGTGATCAGTAGTTTTCTTCATGTACTAAGATGCTGTAACTTTAGAGAAGCAGCTTGGCTTAGGCACTGGACAGAGCCCTCTTCCATTTTCTTCATAGAACCATTCTTCCTCTTGCCTTTATTATGCATGGCAGCTGGTTCAGATATAGCCTCTGCTATTCAGGACAAAGTTTGCCTTTGTTGACCAAACTGAAAAAGAACATAGAAATTCTTTGACCACTAAATCTTGTTGGGCCATTTCTTTTCCACTTACGACTTGTGTATAGCACAAATGTCTGGAGAAAGTTTTACAGCTGCTTCACTTCCCTTTGTCCGAGTATAGTTTTAAAAACTATACTTTAAAAAGTTCACAATAAGGAGAAATAGTGCCTTGCTGCTAGCTCCTTATCCTTCCTCTACCATGTCTATAGATGAGGCAGCCACCTGCTTAACCACAATTTTGTTTTTGGTCCCTAAAAGAACTTATATTACCTGTTAATGGCTACATTACCCATTAATAAAATGTCATTATATTATTTTGAGGTGAATAGGAAATTTCATGAATAGAAACTAGAGCAAGATTAAAAGTTTATACCCATAGACTTTTTATTTATTTATTTTATTTTCATTTATTTATTTTTCAATTTATAACCTGCCTTTTTCCTACAAAGGGCTCAAGGCAGCTTACGTCATTCTCCTCCTCCATCTTATCCTCACAACAACAACCCTGTGAGGTAGGTTGGGCTGAGAGTCTGTGACTGACCCAAAGTCACCCAGTTGGCTCCATGGCTAAGCAGGGACTAGAACCCAGATCCTCTGAGTCCCAGTCCCATATTCTTAACCACTACGCCACACTGGCTCTCTTTTGTCACATATTGAAAAAAGGGGAACAAATGGCTTTCTGAAAGTGGACCTAGTGTTTCTTGAAAGTGAAAGCAGATAGTTTGAAACCAGGTAGTGGAATAGTAGCAGTTTTTCTTTCTCTTCTAAACAAATTTTAAGGCTAATACCATATGATAGTATTTTTCTCAATCATACAGACACCCTTCTTTCCTGTTTCTAAATCTCCAAAAACATTGTCATTCTATGACATCATGGCTACCATCTAGCATAAAGTAATGCTCCACTATTGCCTTCATTTCCTTTTAGGAAAATCAGCTCTACCCCATTGAATAGTAAGCATCACAAACGGTTTAAAAATTCTACTACACCAGAATTTATTAACTGAAAATTGGGGTTGGAGCATTACATTCAGCGCTGAATTAGGAATTAGTAATACAGTGGCAATAATGGCAGTGCCCAAAGCCTTGTTAATCTCAAGCATTTCATAGTAAATAATACAAGTTACCTATTTCATGTAACATCCTATGAGGCTGGCAGCTTTGTAGATACCTGCACAGTATGCCTGTCTGCAGCCTTTGGGCTATTGGGCAAGACAGAAATGTATTAAATAAATAAACAAATAAATAGAGTTCTGCCATTTGTAGATCTAATTCTCCCAAGAAGTCAGGCTCATTGAGCTTTATGAGGACTCCTTAGGAAGCCATGGAATGCGGTCAGGGATCCCCTGTTCCCCCAGCCAACTGAGCAAAATTCCATCCAGTATTTCATTTGTCTTGCAATTCCCAGACCAGTCACTGGATTCAGCACACAACAACCCAGACTTGGGAAACAAACAAGTTTATTTAAAAGGATAAAACATAGAGGTGGAGAGCACTAAAACACACAGGCTAAAAGGAGTAAACTAGGAAAGAGGAGGAAAGGGAGAAGGGAGTTGGACAGCATCAGAAGTACAGTTCACAGCCAACCAAGCACCTCCAAATCCAGGCCTTGTTGGACTAGAAAATAATAAACCTAACCCTAGCCTTGGCTAAGCAAAAATGCTGTACCTTCAGACAAGGCATGATGCATAGGGCTTCACAGTGTTCTTCAGCACAGGTAGCAGGAAACAGCATGGATCCCCCAAAGAGGAACAAATAGCCTTTCTGTTCCTGGACCTTTATCCTCCCATCACTGCTGGTCAGCTGGCCCATGGAGTGGTGGCCCATCTCCCAATTGTTGGGGTCAGTCATCCACTCCAGGTGTTGGTTGTTAACCAGTCATTGCTCTTACCTCAGGCGTCCCTGAGGCCATAATTTCTGATATCTCCCAAAATACATCACAGGAGGAGAGGATTTCCAAGACCTTAGGTGCCAGATTTCTGCTGAACTGGCAGCTATATTTATAATATGTAACTGTTACAGTGTTAACCCTTCCCTGACTCCCTGACAATCTGGGGGCCAGTTCACATTACAGGTGCCTTCAACTATCTTCCTCAATCTGGAAACTCAACATCTTAGACTTGAACGTGTCAAAGAATTACTCCCTGGAATGTTGGGCTTTAACAATGCATGACTTTCTAGTCAGTCAGTGCTCAGCAGTGTCAACAAATTGAGGAGGTGATCCTTATTAAGGAGGTGATGCAAAGATTAGTGGACATTGGAACAAGGGAACCTATCATCTTCTCATGCAAGAACAGATAATGATTTCTGTCGGTTCCTAGTATTAATAAGAATGGAGAAGCAAATTTAAAAAGTATAATAAATCTAAAAAAGGATCAGCAGATTATTGCAAATATATATAAGTACAGAGTAATAGAGTTGTTTGAAGAATCCATTTTGTTTTGAAAATCTGCTGGATTCTCTGGTTGCAGCTTCCTGGACTCCAGTCAAAGACCAATTTTCTGGTGAGTGTGCCCAGGAGTTTGTGGTTTGTGGGGTGCTTACCAGGAATTGAGCCCCACACACTGCACAAGCAGTGTGATTCTTCCATGGACACCACTGTTGCTGGCAGCAGTGTGTGTGGAAGAAGGTTGGTCACTGGAAATGATGGCCAGCACACCCACTTGCTGTGCCCCTTTTCCACATGTGCCTCTGCTAGCAGCAACAACAAGCAGGGGAAAATGTTGGTTGCATTACTTTATAGATAACTAGTCTGAGGTAGTCAACAGGCTAAATCATAACCACAGACTTTCTTTAGGAAGTTTACATAAATCTGGGTACACATGCACGGTTCTCAACATAATCACTGTCATCTATTACAGGGCATGTACTGATGAGTATTTTGAAAGTAGTTATTTTACTGTTCTTTAATGTTTAAGAATAAAACAAAAAAGTGGAAAGAAAAGCGCAGGGCAGAAAAAACGGCAGCTTGATTCATCAGATGATGATGACGACGATGATGATGATGATTATGATAAAAGAGGATCTCGCCGCCAGGCAACAGTAAATGTGAGTTATAAAGAAGCTGAAGAAGCAAAGACAGATTCAGATGACCTCTTGGAAGTTTGTGGAGAGGATGTCCCACAACCTGAAGAAGATGAATTTGAAACCATTGAAAAATTTATGGATAGTCGCATTGGACGAAAAGGAGGTAATCTTGACTTAAATTTATAAAATCTTGCAACCTGATGAATAAAATTTCAATATTTTCCCCTTGTGTGAAAATGCTTGTTGTGAATGGTGAAATGCAACCTTATTGATTAAATGCTTAATTCTTTTAAATCTATATTAAAAAGGATTTACTTACTGATTATATGATATTTAATCACTGCCTGACTCTTTCCTTGATTAATTTATATGCTCTAGTTTCATAGAATATACTGGATTAATCAAACTCTTCCTGTGTGAACATAATTTGTAGCAAGCTTTTTAATATCATAGAGCATTACCAGCACTTCATGAAGTTCTTACAGATGTGTATATCTCAGAACTTATCTGTGTGTATATGGTATTGTGCCTGAGGTGACTCAGCATTGTAGCTGTCTGATTCTATGCCTGTGTTCTCCTCTCAGCAACTGGTGCTACAACCACCATCTATGCAGTAGAAGCTGATGGAGATCCAAATGCAGGATTTGATATATCAAAAGAACCTGGTGACATTCAGTATTTGATTAAATGGAAAGGCTGGTCCCACATCCATAATACTTGGGAAACTGAAGAAACTTTGAAACAGCAGAATGTCAGAGGAATGAAGAAATTGGACAACTATAAGAAAAAAGATCAGGAAACAAAACGATGGTGTGTATTGTATATAACTCCGCATGGTAAAGTAACAAGCATGCATATCATTGACATATTCTGGTAGCCTGTGCCTTTATCTTGAGAATATAATCACAAAATGCTCATATAAGACTGAAGGAATTCACAATTTACTATTTAGAATCAAAATATTTTGGTACTTCGGCTCTTTGGCTGTTCAGCATTATACAGAATGTTTTAGAGTTAATTTGTATTTTAATACTAAATCTTTAAAAATGTGTTCATGTAGCTTTTATAAATGAGGTGGATAAAAATGGCTAGAATGAGCTTCTGTATTTTCAGCAGAATGAATATCTGTGATTGGTTGTAAATGCTTTATTTGGTCCAAAAAGATTGCTTTAAAATCAAATTTATCCAGCTGTTGGCTTGCCTAGCAACTAATCTCATGTCATTAAATGGTATGTATGGATTAACTGCACTAGTGTTTGCATATTACTATTTGGCAGTACAGATGCCTGGATACAGATACCCCATTGAATTTTCCACATTTTGTTCCCTTACACCCTGGAATTGAAATGGAAAATTGGCATTGTTACCACTTTATGTGCACAAGATACTCAATACTGGAAAGGTGCAAAATATCACAGAAGTCAAGTAAGCAACAACTAGCTGACACTTATAATTTGCTTAGATCTCCCCCTTTGCTGTAATATGCCTGGAAAAACTCTAGTGTGACCCACTGTCTCCAGGGAGCTGTAAAATGGACTCTGCCTATGTGCCATTGCAGTACTACATGTCTCAGATTAAATACTCCCATTTCTGGAAGGTCCCAGAGTTTGCTTAGAAGCATTTCTAAACAAAAAGTATTATGAAAACTAAGGAGCTATCAAAACAACCCTATATAAAGTTTTGCAGAAGCACCAATTAGGGTTGGGTAATAATAAAAAGTATCCCAAACTATGAACAACCTTGAAGTAACATTAAATCCATTATTAGAAAATGGAAAGAATATGACTAAACTGTGACTGTCTAAAGAAGGCTGTCCAACAAAACTCAAGGATTCATCTGTTGGCCTGAAAGGACTGCTGGAACAAGCCTCTTTCACATTCCTTGGGGCTATTTAAGACATTCCTGCTATGAGGGAAAGGCAGAAGATGAAAGCTTAGACCAGGGAGATCTTCTCTTCTAATTTTGGTAACATTTGTTTTAGAATTTTAAATAGTAAACTGTCTTGATTGGTTTGGCAGAAAAATGGTATATAAAATTCATTAAATAAAATGAACAATAATGCCTTTATTTAATGCTGAACTCTTTTTCCACAGTGTTTTCTGCTTTTTCAGATCATCTTTTTGGATAGGGAAGGGCTGCACTGGGAACAGAACATTCCCATTGTGTATGTTCCCCTTTGGAAACCAGTCATAAAAGAGGCTGCCTGCCCCCCAGCAGAATGCTTCCAGTGCTAATGTTGAAAGCTACAGGAATGGCAAACTATATACCTTCTGCAATGCTGTAATTCATGAGTAAATGGCTTTCAGACTTTCAGGATCTGCTTCCTTTTCTTACCACTCTTGTTCTACTATTTGGAATCAGAAGCTCTTGCTGATCTCCAGCAACTCATGTAAAGAACTACCAGTAAATCCCAAACAATGTTCTTGTTTGCTTCTTATGTAATTCATATTTTGTACAACTTCTTTTCAGGTTAAAAAATGCTTCTCCAGAAGATGTGGAATATTACAACTGCCAGCAAGAACTCACAGATGATTTGCATAAACAGTATCAGATAGTAGAGAGAATAATTGGTAGGTGGCAGAACTCAAAGTTGGTATTATGACAGTTTAGTGTATGTACTGCATTCATCAGCGTTAATGTAGTTGGAAATCATTTTTATTTCTTCATACTGTTACCATTTACGACTTTGCATAAATGTACATTTTATGTAGTAACAGAAGTATTCATGGGTGGTTTAGCACACAACCTTATCTTTGAGCTTTAATGTTCATCTAAATAAGAATGCAATTTGTTAATTTCATCTTTTAAAATGTTGTTACAGCTCATTCCAATCAGAAGTCAGCAGCAGGTTATCCAGATTATTACTGTAAATGGCAGGGTCTTCCTTACTCAGAGTGCAGCTGGGAAGATGGTGCTCTCATTGCAAAAAAGTTCCAGTCACGCATTGATGAATATTTCAGTAGAAATCAGTCCAAGACTACCCCTTTTAAGGATTGTAAGGTAGGTGCATTTGAATTCTTTTAATGTCTACTTTCAAGAACAGCCTTTGAAGTGGTATTTTACATCTAGACTGTACTGCTTTCAAAACTGCAGGTAGAACCTCATGCAACTGAGTGATACTGAGGTCCTCAGTATCACCCCTCACCTCCTTACTCCCTGTACATAGAAAATCATTGGGCTAGAGACAACAGATCAAGCCTATCACATTTCTTTGTTAAATACGTTTCTTGTATGAAGAAACATTCAGTCATACGATCTGAACCACCTTTTCAATTGTTTGTGAGAACTAGACCGTAACCAACAAAAAGCATAAGACTAATTGTGCCATGCAGTTGAAATTAGAATTTGCAGTAGAATTGATTTGATTTTCCCTTTCCAGGTGTTAAAGCAAAGACCAAGGTTTGTGGCACTGAAGAAGCAACCATCTTATATAGGAGGACATGAAAGTTTAGAGTTAAGAGATTATCAGTTAAATGGACTAAACTGGTTGGCTCACTCTTGGTGCAAGTAAGTGCAAAATAAATTGTTGCAGCTGATTATTAAGTATTTTATAACCTTACAGAAAACTCAAATCATACACATCTGCCATTTGACTGAAGATTGAACTTCATGTGTGGGTAACTACATATAATGTATGGTGCTGAGAATGAATAGCTAATGTTTTCAAGAGATGTGCAGACTTTAAGATTGGCAAATCTACTTGGTACACTACTAGAACCTTGAGCATCACCAATCATAGCCATGGGCAAACTGCATAGTAGTTTGGGGTTTCTGTATATTTTTAATTAAGTACTGTGGCATCTTTTATGCCCAGCCAAAGAGTTTATTTTCAAGACCAGAAATGATTCCTTCCACTCCTTGGCCCAGCTTTCTTGGTTTTCAGCAGTCTAACTTAGAAGTGGAAACTGTTGTTTCTTTTGTCAGCCTATGGAGGGTCAGAAATACTTTCTAATCTACTACAGATCTCTCTGATATTTACCATCTGCAGCCCCTTGTTATGTCCTGTACTTGTTTTTATACTGTCTGGTAAACAACTGGATAAATTATGTTTAGTTATTGGCCTTTGGGTTGTTTTTGTCTTTCCCCCTTCACCTTCTCCCTCCCTGTATCCCAACTATCTTTGTGGTACTGCAGTATTGTCATGTTAAGTGTCTGGGGGTTTTGACTCCTCTTGCAGTTATCTCTTCTGTAGCCCAGAGAAACAACCCATGATTCTGAGGTTGCTAGTAACAGCAACCCATCATTAAACAACGCACAAGGCACAACTTCACAATAAGCCATGGGTTATTTTCATTGGATATCATGGTTAACAACTGATAGTTAACACTTACTTTTAAGTCCACACATAAAACAACAATTCAGCAAGCCATTATTAATTAAACCACAGTTTGTCATTATGTGCAGACCAGGCATATATTCGCATTTATATTCAGACTATATTATGAATAAGCCTTAATTGTAAGCTGGTTAGAATTTGTGTTTTAATTATTGAATTTCTGTTATCTAATAATTTGGATTTGTGATTCTAACGATCACTTTTAACTTGTGTTTTATTCACCCCACTTTACAGGGGGAACAGTTGTATTCTTGCAGATGAAATGGGCTTGGGAAAAACAATACAAACTATTTCCTTTCTGAATTACTTGTTTCATGAGCATCAGTTGTATGGGCCTTTCCTACTAGTAGTACCACTTTCCACTTTAACTTCTTGGCAAAGAGAAATCCAGACATGGGCTCCCCAGATGAATGCTGTAGTTTATTTGGGAGATATCACTAGCAGAAATGTGGTAAGTACACTTATAATGTTAAATAAAGGGTAAAAATGTATGGCTAGTTTCTGTTGCTAAATGTAAAGATTAAGTATATTTCATAATGCTTAATTTTTAAAATTATTATTTCAAACTTTGTTTTACAAATCAGAAGTAGTTGGTATCGATACTCTGAATTTGATTAAGGAAGAGATACATTAATCTGAAAGTTCCTCCACAAAGCTAGAAAATTAAGACTTCCTAGTTTTTGGTTAATACGTTGTCCCAATTTAAGGAATGGTTGCTTTCAATATAGAGGCATTTAAGTCCTTGAGTTGAGGAATGTTACAACTGGATTTAAACATAATCAGTCATAGCTTTTGTTGCAGCAATATTTACAGTCTATGTCATTAGATTCACTAATGACATAGACTAAAATATGAAGTGGTAATAAAACAGAAGTTTGCCATATATATATGGGGTTGTTACATCTTGTTAACAGAATCTCTTTTCTAGTTGATTAAGAGCATATTGTTAAGTGTTATGCTGGTCAGACATGAATATTTTTAATCTCCTTTGAGGAGCTTTTATTCTTTCTCATAAGTAGAGCAGCCTATACTACTGGAAAGTCAGTCTCTTTTGGATAAGAGACAGGATTAAGAACGACAGATTTCTTTCTAAAGAACTTTTTGTAAGGGCAATTTGATTCCTGGCTCTGAAGGGACAGTAGGATTATGTGATCTAGAACAACCAGCCTGGACAAGGGAACTGGCGGGGTGTACTACATATGCTGTTTATACTGAAAGCCAGATTGTATGCAAAGAAGCAATAGCAAAGAAAACTGGCTAAGCCAGCGTTCTCCAATGTAGTGCTCTCCAGTTGTGCTAGATCATGGCTCCCATCATTCTTGGCTATGAGTGTTGGGGATGAATGTTCTAGTCAGCACATCTGGAGGGCCTCAGATTTAGGAACACTAGCTATGCTGTACTTTGGAAAGGTGGATAAGGGTGCAATTCCAAGGGTAGCTGCTGCTTTCAGGTTAGACCCTTCTGATTTCATCCCACATTCAATCATACTGATGGGCACTTGGTATATAGCATGTGTAATATTTACAAATGTAGAAAGGGTAGTGTTTAAAAATTAATGGCAGCAAATATATTAAGCATCTTATAGAAATATTTTAAACATTGTAACCTGTTATCTTATTGATTTTATAGATAAGAACGCATGAATGGATGCATTTACAGACAAAGCGATTAAAATTTAACATTCTGCTGACCACTTACGAAATTTTGTTGAAAGATAAGGTAAATAATTAGAGCAACATTCACTCCTGTATATTGAAACAGTACTAAAGGCATTAGGTGTATCTGTCAGCTTTTATTTCAGTGAAAAAAACTGTGAATGTTATTTCAGTGGAAAAAAACCTGAATGTTATTATTGAAAGTGTCAGTAGTTTCCAGTGTTCCAGTAGGAAGCAAACCATTCTTAATAGAGTGAACCTGCAATTCTATGGTCCCTGGATAGACATAGCAGTGGCCATAGAATGTTTTGGGTTTCTTCTCCTTGTGTGCAGAGACAGAGAGTGCTCCAACCTCTGGAAAGTGGGGAAATTCCAACCTCACAAACCATCTCCCAGTTTGTTCAGAAATGTCAGAGAGATAAGGACTTTTGGCATCAGTAGAGAGAAGAAGGCAGCATCTTGTGGGATTGTTGAAGGTAGATTGGCTGAAGGCTTGTTTTCACAGGATCCATATCCTTCCATTTGTTGACATCCCCTATAATTGGAAATGTACACCAACTCCAAAGCTGCCAGCAATGGAATGGAAAATGTAAAATTTAAGAGAAAAATGAACAGGCAGAGGGAGAGAGGAACGGGGAGAGAGAGAGAGCGCATAAGAGAGTGATGACATTCCTCTCTTGTTTTCTGCCCTGCTGGCATAAAACTGGCAGACCTTAGGATAAGGTAGTTCCTTTACTTTTGGCTCTCCATTCTAGCCAACCATTGGTAGGGTTGTTTTTGTCCCTGTTAATTTTAATATTACAACATAACTTACTTTAAGCTGCCATGTTAAATGTTGGACTCTGAAACAAAATATCATTAATGTTTATGTTCTTTTGCAAAGTCATTCCTTGGTGGTCTGAACTGGGCATTTATAGGAGTGGATGAAGCCCATCGATTAAAAAATGATGATTCCCTCCTGTACAAGACATTAATAGACTTCAAATCTAATCATCGCCTTCTTATCACTGGAACACCTTTGCAAAACTCCCTGAAAGAGCTCTGGTCCCTGCTGCACTTCATCATGCCAGAAAAGTAGGTAAACTTATTATGCTAAATGTGTTGACAGCCTTATTTCATGATCCACCTTCAGAACTCAGCAGAGAACAAAGAGCAGACAACTTTGCTAGCATTTCTCATCTTGTTTCAATGGTCACAAGCTGTATATTCTTTGCATCCCTTTGTTTCCATTCTTAATCCTGCTTTGAGTGACATTGTCATTTGGATAAAACCAGTCTTTTTTTTGAACTGCTGATAGTATATTTTGATTTTTAATCATTGCAAATGTCAATAATTGCCACAGGAAGTGCTTGAATAGGCTTAGTGGTGAAAAGGATTTTAAATACAACTACTTGATAGTGTTTCCTCCCACATGGGAATTTACTTGAAAGAATCAATTTGGAAATAGATATTACCTTCAGTAAACTAATTATCACTATCAAAGATGAGCAAGACATCAAGTCTTAACGCCTCACTGCTGACTTCACAGTAAATTTGTTAACATTAGTGACTCTGACTTATAGTATAGTATAGTAACTCATATAATATACAGTATAGTAAGTATACTGACATTAGTGCATTTTCAGTGTTTGTATAATTCTGCTAGATCAGATCAAAGCTTTCATCGTCCAGTATTCTGTTCCATCAGTAGCCAACCAGTGGCCTCTGGGAAGCCCGCAAGCAGGACATGAATATATTATTGCTCAGCAACTGATACTGGCTGTTTTGCATGACATGCCTAGCCACCCTGTAAACAGGCTATGCACTGTGGGTTGTTCACAAAAGAACTCATAGCGCTCCTGACAAATGATCAGACTCACCATTACTTATTCTCCCTATCCTTCTTCCTTTGTCCTACAATCACTATCTTAGTGACTGTAGGACACTAAGGACTGTGGGACTATCTTTGTAGTAAAATCCATCTTGTCTCCTGTTCCCCCTCAGATTGCTCTCCTTTAGATTTTTTTTTTTTAAATTAGACTCAAAAATTCACAACTGGGGGCATATTTTTAAAATTGGCCCTGGAAGATAGAATTCACACTTGTGGTTATATTTTAAAAAGTTGTTGCTGCTGCTCTTTTGCAAGTGCATTTGTTTCCTTGTTTCAGCTATTAAAAAGAGCAGTGAAGTAGACTGAGTAACATACACGGAGAGTGACAAAGTGGGACTGCATATAGGTTAATTTGTTTCTAGTTGCAAAGGGCCAAGTTTTTGAGCTGTCAATTGAAGAGCACCTAAAAGGGGCTGGAGGGGTGGCAAGAAAGGGGGAATCACAGGAAGGAAGGCACAGTATTTCCTACTTAGCAGTGTAATCCTCTCAGTGTTACATGGTCGACTGATACTTCCCAGGTTGCTCCACCTTTACCGCACTTCAAATCTCCAGCTACTCCAGAATGGAGAGATATTAATTCCAGTCTCCTTTTGTGCATTCTTTTCAGTGCTTTTCTGCTGTGATTACTGTGGTTCCAATTCTAGAAAAGATTAGAAAGATATATTAATACAGTATCAGGGAAGTAAATGGAAGTGAAATCTATGTCAATTTATAGCCTGGGAAGTACATGCAGTAGAGGTTTGCATACCAGATGTGCAAATTTCTCCTTCTTTTATTGGACTGCAATGCTTGCAACTCTTTAAGTTAGCCGTTTTGTAGTTTGTTATTCAAGTATGTCACCTTCACTGCCACTGATGGGTTTTTGCCACTCTTGCTGAGTGGCTTGCTAGCTGATTGCTGCAGCCCATCTCTGGCTCAGATGACAGAACAACTCATCTTTGAACAAATAGCCCCTAGAACAAGCCATTTCCTAAAAAATAAGCCACCCTGCAGGAAGTGGTCTGAGTTCAACTCATGCTATTGCAACTCACCATGGCTAGTTATATATGATGGGTTGTGTCATGCAAACTAGGGCATAGTGTCTCTGATGTTGAAAATGTAATATTTAGCTGTCAACTCATATTTCCTCTTAAAACTGTCCAAGGTCATGGTGATAACTACATCTTGTGATTGCAGATTTCATGGTTTAACTGTGTGCTATGTGAGGGCATATTTCCTTTCATCTGTTTTGAGTTTGTCCTGTCAGCTTAACTGCATGAAATCAAGTCATCTCCCTTTATTGAGTCCTTTTCTCCACATTTCTAGTCATAGGATCCTACCCAACTCTTCTCTAAATTCTTTGAAATTGGCTTTCCTGAACTCCAGAGAACATTTCTAGTTTACATTCAGCTTTTAGCTTCCTTTCTTTAACAATCCATGATAACTTGAACTTTTTCCCCATAATTCCTACCAGTTTCACTTTATCCATCAGCTCTTTTTTGTTGGTCAGAATTAAGTCCTGGAGAGATCATCTCTTCTACCTTCTGATAGATTGATTTATTACCAAGCAAGTTAGAAATACTCTAGTTGTAGCATTCTTGGAACAGTACAGGCTTTAGTTTAAAGCCCCTGTGCTAATGTGTGGAGGGCTCCTGTCAAACATGCTTTCCAGTCCTTGTAAGTTGCATCACATCTCCTGCCAAAACCCTTCAGTTTAGTACTCTTAAGTTGTTTAATAGGTGTTACCAATAGCATTTCTTTCATCAGTGTATGTGGTTAGGATTTCTTTTTCCACTCATGACATCACTTGGATTACAGAATAATTCACAACTGTTATTTTATTGCTCATTTGCCCTTTGGAACTCAATAATGTGGTATTATTTGCAAACACCACTGTAATTTTGGTCTTTTGTCTCCCTGTGTTGCTGTTAATAAAGATTTG